ACAAAGCTGACAAAAACATACACTGGGGAAAAGAATCTCTTTTCAGTAAGTGGTGCTGGGAAAACTGGATAGCTGCATGCAGAAGACTGAAACTAGACCCCTACCTCTCACCTCTCACAGAAATCAATTCAAGATGGATAACAGACTTAAACCTAAGGCACGAAACCTTAAGAATTCTAAATGAAGATGTTGGGACCCTTTCAGACATCGGCCTAGGTAAGGAATTCTTGAAGAAGGCCCCCAAAGCAATCGCCGCAGCAACAAAAGTAAATAAGTGGGATCTAATCAAATTAAAAAGCTTCTGTACTGCCAAGGAAACTATCATTAGAGTGAATAGACAGCCCACAGAATGGGAAAAAATATCTGCCCGTATCTTAAAGGGTTCACAACTACTGTTGGCGTAACGCGACCATTTCAGTTTTCTTCCCGACACCCGATCAGTTCTGATTCTGTAACTTTGTTTTTCTGCTTACAAAAGTAATACAGGCACACCTGGCTTTGTTGTGCTTCTCAGATAGGCGGTTTACAAGTGGAAGGGTTTGGCAGCTGTGTACGGAGCGGGTCTGTGGGTGCCGTGTTTTCAGCAGCAGGCGCTCACTTCGTGTCTGTCACATTTTGGTAATTCTTGCAATATTTCAAACCTTTTCATTTATCTCTTATTATCTGTACTCAGTGATACTTGTTACTGTTGTAATCATTTTGGGGTGCCATGTACAGCACCCCTAGAAGACAGCAAGCTTAACTGCTGAATATTGTGTGTGTTCCGACTGCTCTGTTGACCTGACCTGCCTTCCCCCCTCTCTCCTCCTCCCCTCAGACCCCCCCTGTTCCCTGAGACACAGCAGTATTGAAATTAGGCCAGGTAATAACCCTCCAGCAGCCTGTGAGTGTTCAATGAAAGGAAGAGTCTCACGTCTCTCACTTTAAATCAAAAGCTAGAGATGATTAAGCTTAGAGAGGAGGCACGATGAAAGTCGAGCTAGGCCTCTTGCACCAATTAGCCAACTTGTGAAGGCAAACGAAAGGTCCTTGAAGACATTAATAGTGCTACTCCAGGGAACGTACGAAAGATAAAGTGGAACAGCCTTATTGCTGACACAAGAGAAAGTTTCAGTGGTCTGATAGAAGATCAAACCAGGCACGACATTCCCTTAAGCCAAAGCCTAATCCAGAGCAAGGCCCTGACTCTTCAATTCTGTGAAGGCTGAGAGGTGAGGAAGCTGCAGAAGTCGGCTCATGAGACTTAAGGAAAGAAGCCATCTCGAGAACACGCAAGTGCAAGGTTAAGCAGAAAGTGCTGATGGAGAAGCCACAGCAGGTTATCCAGAAGATCTAGCTAAGATCATTGATGGAGGTGGCCACACTAAACAACAGTTTTTCAGTGTAGATGGAATAGTCTTCTGTTGGAAGAAAATGCCATCTAGGACGTTCCTAGCCAGAGAGAGGTCAATGCCTGGCTTCAAAGCCTCAAAGGACAGGCCAACTTTCTTGATAGCGGCTAATGCAGCTGGTGACCTTCAGTTGAAGCCAGTGCTCATTGACCATTCTGAAAATCTTAGGACCTTCAAGAATTACATTAAATCAACGGTGCCTGTGTGCTATAAATGAAACAACAAAGCCTGGGTGACAGCATGTTTGTAGCATGGCTTATTGAATATTTTAAGCCCACTGTTGAGACTTACTGCCCAGAGAAAAAGATTCCTTTTAAAATATTATTGCTGGCCAGGCATGGTGGCTCACACCTGTAATCCCATTGCTTTGGGAGGCTGAGGTGAGGCAGGAGGATCTCTTACGGCCAGGAATTTGGTGTCAGCCTGGGCAATATAGCAAGAACCCCATCTTTACAAAAAAGTTTTTTAAAAATTAGCCTGGCATGCTGGCACATGCCTGTAGTCCTAGCTACTCAGGAGGCTGAGGCAGGAGGATCACTTGAGCCCAGCCAGGAGTTCAGGGCTGCAGTGAGCTGTGATGGTGCCACTGTACTCCACCCGGGGTGACAGAGTGAGACCTTGTCTCTAAAAAATACATACATATTACTGCATATTAACAATGCACCTGGTCACCCCCAAGAGCTCTGATGGAGATGTACAAGGAGATGAATGTTGTTTCCATGCCTGCTGACACAAGATCCATTCTGCAGCCTATGGATCGAGTAATTTTGACTTTCAAGTCTTAGTATTTAAGAAATACATTTCATAAGGCTGTGGCTGCCATAGCCAGTGAATCCTCTGATGGACCTGGGCAAAGTAAATGGAACACCTGGAAAGAACTGACCATTCTAGATGCCCTTAAAAGATTTGTAGTTCATGGGAGGAGGTCAAAATACCGCTGTGAACAGGTGATTGGAAGAAGCTGATTACCAACCCTCATGGATGACTTCGAGGGGTTCAAGACTCCAGGGGAGGGAGTAACCGCAGATGTGGAAATAGCAAGAGAACTGGAGTTAGAATTGGAGCCTGAAGGTGTGACTGAATTGCTGCGATCTCATGATAAAACTTGAACGGATGAGAAGTTGCTTCTTATGGATGTAAGCAAGGAAAGTAGTTTCCTGAGGTGGAATGTGCTTTTGGTGAAGATGCTGTGAACACTGTTGAAACCACAGCAAAAGACTCGGAGTATTCCATAAACTTAGCTGATAAAACAGCGGCAGGGTTTGACTCTGATGTTGGAAGTAGTTATCTACCGTGGGAAAAACGCCATCAAATGATGCAGCAAACGTCACTGTTGTCTTATTTTAAGAAACTGCCACAGCCACCCACCCTTCGGCAACCACCACCCCATCAGTCAGCGGCCGTCAACATCAAGGCAAGACCCTCCAGCAGCAAAAAGAGTGACTTGTGAAGGCTCAGATGATCGTTAGCATTGTTTAGCAGTATGGTAGTTTTAAATTAAGGAATATACATTGTTTTTCTTTAAGACATAAAGCTGTTGCACACTTTAATAGACTGCAGGATGGTGTAAACATTAGTGTTATATGCACTGGGAAACCCCAGAATTTGTGTGACTCACTTTATCGCAGTATTCACTACGCTGCAGTGGTCTGGAACCAAACCCACAGTGTGTCCAAGGTACGTCTGTACTTGTGGTAAAGAAAAGGTTCAGGTGTTACGGAAGTGTGAGCAGGGAACGTCTCCTGGAATCCTGCTCTCTGAGACAGCAGCTGCTCACAGTTTAGGCCACGTCCCTCCCACATTTTGCAGATGTGCAGTTGTATTATGTGTACAGCTCTGGGCCCTGATTTTTTTAAAAAGCTGATTTTGTAATTTTTTTTTTATGGTAGGCAGACCCAGGGACTGCCTCATTCTTGGCAGCTGCATAGTCATCACTGTGTTTATACTACGCTATACCTTACTTATATATAACCACAAGTAGGCCATTTGCGCACTTTCTTTTTTTAATGCCACGATGAACATCTTTGAGCAAATCAGTGCCTGTGCATAGGTGGGGAGGGTTTTTAAAGAATGAATCCCAGTGACAAGGCACTGCTGCCCGCCCAGCCGGAGCCCACTCACCTTTCACTCCTACTTAGATGGAAAAAGAAAACAAGGCGGCCATGGAGGTTTGCTTCCTTGCGGTGGCATCACATTTGTGGGTCTCTGAGGACAAAAGTGACCGAGTCAGTGGGGAGAGCAGCAGTTGTCCAAAAGTGTCTTCACTGGAGGGACCAACCCCTAGGATTCGGCCCTTTGACTCCTTTTTTTAAAAGTCGGTTTCACCGTCTCTCAAAGGAAAAAACGGTGTGAAAGTTTTGAAGAGAACTACTGTTGGGACAGAGTTGTTGCTTAATTGTAGGTGTTCACGAGGAAGCTGTTTGGTATTCAGCCAACAAACAGCTGTGCTCAAACTTCAGCAAGCCTACTTGGGAATGTAATTTAGTGACCTTCTGAAAGGAAAAAAACGCATTTTAAGTGCTACATGAGGCTTAATGCGCATAGTGTATTGAGTTGAGCAAGCTGTGGAATTTAACCTTTTTTTAACACAGATTTTAAAAATCTTTCCTCGTGCTGCCCCCCCCGCCCCCAGGTTATTTGCAGGTGTCTTCCCTCGCATGGCAGCCATCAGTCTGGGCGGCTTCATCTTCCTGGGGGCTTACGACCGGACGCGCAGCTTTCTGTTGGAAGTTGGCAAAAAGAGTCCTTGAAGCAGAGACCGTCTCACACTCGCTTTCAGGAAAGGGCGCTGCTGGAGAACCCTCCTGCAGAGCAGCTGTTTGGCCATCTGAGCTGCAAGACTCAGCACTCATGTCCGATTCTGCCCAGATGACAGCACTGAGCATGTGCTGTGTGTGGTGCATGGTGGCTGGGATGAAGTCAAGAGAAGAAACTACATCCGTGGCGGTACTTTGAACAGTTTTCTCAGAACCCCTTAATAAATAAGTTTGGTGATGTCAGGGCCAGGCTCTTCAGAGCTTTCATTTGATCTGTATCTGATCTTTCATTTCCTGCCACCTGATGATGGCAAGATGGTCATAATTTGAAAAGAATGGCTAGCTTAGGAAAAGGAAGGAGACTTAGGGAAAAAGTTGTGTATGTGGGTGTTTCTCCCCTGGGTTAATTCCTATTGTGTAAGGTTAGAGCTTTGTTTAAAAAGAATGAACTACAGGTGCATAGCAAGCATTCTTTCTGGGTAACCAGGCTGCTGGTTTTAATTACCTTCAGATTTCACCTATAAAAACACACGATTGTATCATTTTACAGAGAAGTGTCCAACGGCCCATGTGGTATGTGAAAGAAAGCAGCTGCAGCTCCTGTGACTAGTGGGCCCAACTGGCTCCGGGCAGGAGAGCGTGGTGGGTTCCCGCTGGGAAGCTGAACTCCCTCCGCTGTCCTCCATTCCAGGCTGAAAGGAGGGCCTGGGCCGGCTTTGGAAGCACAGTGTTGCCTCCTTGAGTTTTAAGCTCAACGTTGTTGTAAGGAGAAGGAATGGAATGGAAAGGTCACCATACTTTGGGATTTTTAGAGCTTGACTAACAAGCTCCAGGTGTAGAAAAATTCAGAAAGAAATCTCAGGAATCTAGCCGTGTTGTGTCTTCCCTGGAGCAACAGTATATGATTCTTTGTCCTTTTTGAGGAAAAACATAATTAAAGGCAGAATGCCTGCATTTGTAAGGGAATCGTTGAAATTAAATGGGATGGAGAGATGCTGGTTAATGTATGTAGGAGAAGGACCCCCAACCATACACTGAACATTTATAAATGAACCTTTATTAAAGACACTTCAGTGCCATTTGTTAGACACTTCAATATTTTACATGGTTTTCAATGTACATTGTACCAAAATTTCTATAAATAAATAACTTTATACATAAAAGTAATACTTCCTCTTTCACATTGCCTCTCAGAAGCAGCAAATTCACATATTTTGTGGAAGTAACAATCGGTTAACCATTGAGAACACAATTCTAAATGTGCTTACCTTTTGGAACAGTGATGACATCGGACAGTAAAATTTAACATAGGTAACCATTTTGTCAATACCTCCCCCTTCAGCTTTTTAGCCAAAGGAACTTGCTTTCTGAGATTTTTAAGGACCTTGTCTGTTTCAATGTAACTTACTCACACACTGGCACTCACAAGATGGTTAGCTACAGGTCTCGAAAGTGCAAATATACCTAGAACCCAGGTGGAGGGCTGAATCGTGTACAATCCCGGCCCAGATCCTTCTGTGCGAGGGAACGGCGGCGAGGACAGGCCTGCTCTGGATTCTCAGTAGCAATAAGCTAGCCCTGAAAAGTAAGAACTTTATCCTTTGTAGCCCCCAAGGCAATATTAATTATACTGGCAGAACTAAAACATCACTATTGAAAAAAATCCACAGGTACCAACACCAGCAGCCTTTACCTTAATAAAAAGCCTCAAATAGGAATCAAAGGATACCGAAAGACCACATTTGTTTGTATTACAAAATGAGCCTCAAAGGAGGAAGAAAGGCAGTGCTTAATTGTTCTGACCAGTTGCTTGTGGTGAACAACCCTCATTCCACTCTTTAAGGAAAGAACTTACTTACACGTCAAAGTCACTCACTGCAAAGGTGAGTGGCAGCTGCACCTCCGGCTCCCCGGGCGGCTCGCTGCCCGAGCGTCCACGCGAGCAACACTGAGGTGCAGTTACTTCCAACGCACACTGTCGAGCAGCTACGGGTCTGTCCTACGAAGTGCAATACCAATCCCAGGACCGCCCGTCCTTCCCAACCCACCAATTCCTGGGAACAAATGTGGTTTTAGACTCTAAATTCCAGCCATGCATTAAGGCACCAGAACTATGCCCCACCCCCCCTCCAAAATTAAACAGCAACCTGATATGAAAAATAATATTGTCGAAATTGTATAATTTTTTGTTAACCATGCACTAAAGATTAAAATAGCCTCTGTAAAAGATATATAATATATATGAAATCTCTGAAAACTCTTATGTACAATGGTATCAAATACTTTTTCTGCCTTTTGTACACAAATAGCCTCTTGCATTTCTGTGCTTCAGATGCAAGTCCTTTGAACGACCGACACTCCACGTGGAAGTCAGGACTATGTACAGATCAGTGACGCTTGAACCCAAGCTTCCTCACGGCCTCGCCTACCTCTCTCCCCCGCGGAGACTGGTACGACAAGAGCTGAGGTAGACAAAGCCTAGCTTTTCGGTGCCAGCGTCAGTGGCACCCTCCGGTTCCCAGGGAGCTGTCCTGTCAGTGCTGTGGACTCAGGGTCAGAGTCACATGCCTTGGGCAGGTGGCCATTGGAAATAAGCAAGTGCTGGGCTTCGCTGGGGATGGCAGGAAAGCCCGAGGCGGCCTCCGTGAGCTCTGGATTGCCCGAAGTTAATGACGACGCAGCGTGTAGCTCTGTGGAGTCCGGTTCATACAACCTTGCTAAAGTCCAAGAAGAGTCCCCTAGGAGAAAAGAGAGGCTGTGTCAGACCCTCCAGCCTGGCCATTTAAGTGGCTTCCAACCCACCTGCTGGCGACTCCTCAGAGGGCAGTAAAATGTTACCTTTTCCATCTAGTGATGCCGCTGGCTTTTTCTTCAAGGCCATCAGCATTCTGTCGTGGTTACTGGGGTACAGAGACTCCCTGTAGTCGGTGCAAGACCCGTCAACAGTCTCACTGCTCTGCTGCGGTGGAGAATGTTCTCGGTCATTCCGACTGGGCTCCTGGCCACCGAGTGTCCTCGGCTGTGTACTGTCTTTGGACACAGGCTGGGCGTAAAAGGCTTGTTCCTTGGAGTAACCGTCCACGTCAGCGTTGCAGTCGCTACACACAGTCGCGCCGCTAGGTTCTGAAGGACACAGCCAAAGGTGGATGAGCATGCGTGCCGCCGGCGTCTCGTCCCCCCCCAGAGAACAAGCCGCTGAACTAACCCCACTGCTGCAGGGTGACAGCCTGTTTGCATCGGCTAGAGAAATACCCCTTCTCGCCCCAAAGTACGTTCACAGAAAAAGGACTAGGCACACACCAAGCCACTGATGAAGAATGGGGTCGTTCACGTTTATGTGTTCCAGATTTAGTTAATTTCGGACTCAGAGAATATAGTTGTACCGCTTTGATCACAGGAGGAAAAAAATTCCCATTTCAGTTTGGCAGGATACAGTGTTAAGAGTCTTCTGAACAATTAGAAATTTACCCTCAAAAGAGCTCTGGTGAAAAGGTACCGACTAAAACTCCGCATTTTTGAGCTCCGCCCCTTATCTAAATTGCTTATAAGTCTAGGAAAATCATGGTCAGCTTACCGCCCCACAGATTTACTTAGGGGAGGCGCTGTTCTGCCATTAAGAGGGCAGCCAGAGCTTCCCGTTTTGGGTTAATACCAAATTTGGAGATAGTCGTAGACCAATAACGTTTCCCTCTTTCATTTAGTGACTAGATCAACCCAAATTTCAGTTTCAGAAAAACTCCTTTTCCTGAAGAAAGCCTCTCATACCCATCTTACGTGGAGCAGGTGTCCCGTCAGCCTTCTCTGTCACCTTCCACGGCTCCTTACTGTAGCCAGCACAGAGCTTCGGCTGCCTGCACGGAATCCCATGAGCGTCGGCCTCTGGAAAGAGGCTTGCGTCTCTCGGGCAGACACCTGCAACGGGTTCTCACACATTTAGAAACCCCGGCCTTAGCGCTTCACAGTAAGCCTCAGGAAAGGAACGGGCAAGGCTACTAGAACCAAGTCATTTTTTAAAAAATGTTCTTAGGCCGTGCGTGATGGCTCACGCCTGTAATCCTAGGACTCTGGGAGGCCGAGGCGGGAGGATCGTTTGAGCTCAGGAGTTCGAGACCAGCCTGAGCAAGAGCGAGACCCCGTCTCTACTGAAAAAATAGAGAGAAATTAGCTGGACAACTAAAAATATATATATATAAAAAATTAGCCGGGCATGGTGGCGCATGCCTGTAGTCCCAGCTACTTGGGAGGCTGAGGCAGGAGGATCGCTTGAGCCCAGGAGTTTGAGGTTGCTGTGAGCTAGGCTGACGCCACGGCACTCTAACCCGGGCAACAGAGCAAGACTCTTTGTCTTGGGAAAAAAAAAAAAGAAAAAAATGTTCTTTACAGTGAGGGATTGTTAGGCTAACCCGGGGTACCTGGGAGGAGCGTGTTTTCTCCCACCACCTCCCCAGCAGGCAAGCCTTTCGGCATGTGAAGCCATGTTAAATGAGCGGTTCTGCGAGGGAACAACCTTATGGTCCTAGGCAGGGGCTCAGAGTCCCCCACTGCTGGGAAGGATCTCACCCTGGCAAGAACTTTCTGACTGAGACACAGAGCAGACCCAGACACTTCACACAATGAATGGGCTGGTTTCGTGCCCTGTAACATCCTTTGCGGCTGTTGTTCCAGGCAAGCCTACCTTATCCTGACTGGGAGACACTAAGCCCAACACAGTGACTTCCTAGGGAACAGGATTTTAAAACCTTGCAGAGCTTACACAGACTGGGTCCAAAACAAAACAACAGAAGCCCTTAGGCTTCATGGTTGCCGAGGCCTTACCGTTGCTCTCAATGTGCCCGTTGGCCTGATGGCCACCATCAGTCCTGACCACAGTTTCCTGTCGGTCAGACAGGGTCCCCTGAGAAGAAAGGTAGCTTGGAACATCTGGTGGCACCATAGTTTCATCTGCAAGGAGACAGGACAATGAAACGACAGAGTCACAGTGACAAGAAATTCATCGTCAGGCCCAGAAACAGGATTTCCCAACAGTGACCATCAAGGCTGTGCAGAGACAGAGCGGAGTCCGTGCACGTGACAGGCTCTCCCAGAACCCGCTTAGCCTTCCCGTGCACCCAGGCACGAGAGCATGGCACTCAGATACCTGAGTCCACGCAAGACTCAGGACGGTGGTGGGAAGGGAGATGGGACTAACAGAAGCATGGCACTGTGAGGTCATTTCAGGAACAACCCATCACGTGGCAACAAGGCACAGGCCTGGCACACCTCTGAATTACCAAGGAGCAAGAAAACAGCAGAGGCCATCGTGCACTGATGATCTGAGAGGACTCCCATGTCATGTTACGTTCCTAGAAGTTTGAGTGGTGCCTCAGCTATCCAGAGTGACTCCATATTCCCAAAGGCTCTGGTGTTCTGACCACACCAAAACTCTTGACAAAGCCTCTGGACCCAGCCTCGTTCCCAAACATCCCTCCTCCCCTGAAATTCGACTTTGCCGGCAGCGCCCAACCTGTGTTGGTGACGCTGTATTCCTCACTCTTCTTCCTGGTTTGGTAGATGATGCACACCCACACCAGTGACGTCAGCACGATGCTGCACACCACGGCGATGGTGAAGATGCCCACGGTGGTCCCGTCCTTCCTGCAGCCAGGGGTGGGCAAGATGCTCAGCTGGCTGTGAGCTCGCTCGGTGCCCAGGGTGTTGGACATCTCGCAGGTGTACCGGCCTGCGTCCTCTGCCACCACATTCTGAACGACCAGCAGCTGGTTGCCCGGGGTGAAGTGGTGCCGCTCCGTGAGGCTCAGCGGGCGGCCCCCCTTCAGCCAGGTGATGCGGGGCAGAGGGCTCCCCGTCGCTTTGCACTGAAGGGCCACCGTTTCTCCCACAGACACCACACGGTCTTCCAAGGGCACCGCCAAGGATGGGGTCTCTGCAAGAAGTCAGCCGAGATCTTACAGTTACTCTCTGGGCCTCGGTTACCGTGGCTGCACCTTTTCTGGAGAAAGGGCAAGCCAACGTATCACTGAAATGCCATCCGAGAGCTTCTATCAGAGTGGCAGGCTTTTCAGAAAACCCAACACCATGACTAAATCATCAACATTCTTGGGGTGGCTCTGACAAGGAGAATGAACTAATCTCTGGCCACAAAAGCCCCTGCTGTTCCCTAACTGTCCTGTGACAGGCCTGCGTCCTAATTCTTGACCAAGACCACACCCATCCTGCTCAGTTCAGAGGGCAGTTCTTGGAGTGTTTTACATCTAAGCCCTATGAAGACTCTCTTAATTCACTGGCTATCAATTTTTTTTTTTTTCAAGAGATGGAACTACTTGTTCAAGAAAAATTTCAGAAAGTAGCCCAAAATTTCAACCAGAGTAGAAACAGCCCACTGCGCTTACCTACCCCAGGCTCCACAGAGTTTGACAACTTTGCCTCTAGGTACCTGTGATATTTAACAGTCTCTGTCTCTCTGTCTCTCTCTCTCTCACACACACACACACACACACGGCGTATCAAGGGCCGAACCTAAGACACTCAGGGTGGCGTTAGCTGAAATGGAGCCGGCGGAATTCTGGGCGGTGCAGCTGTAGACCCCCATGTCATCTACTTTCACGTCAGTGATGAAAAACACGTCGTCATCGGGCATGACGTGCATGCGGCGCTCACGAGCAGCGGGGAAATCTGTGCCTCCATCCTTCTGCCAGGCAATCTGGGGGTTGGGGTGGCCGGTGGCGGCACACTCGAGGCGGGCCATCGTGCCAGTCCGGATGGCAATGTCCTGAGGCATTTTGGTGAATGACGGCAACACTGGAAAACATGTGCAGGGGTACAGCACAGCTAGGTACAAAGCCAGGGAAGCCCTCGGTCAGCACACCTCCCCACCTCCCCACCTGGGCGCCAGCTCGCTACCTCGCCACCCTGTGTGCCAACGCCCAGGACCACTACTGCCACCTGGGAATCAAGACCCGCCCACCTCCCCACACCAGGTGGAACATTTTCTAGCCCTGACCCCTCTCCTTGTACACCTAGGTGGACTTTAACCCCCTCAAAGGTATAAACGTTTCCCTTGCTGTACCGCGTAAGGTGATCAGTCTACACAAGGGTCCCCCATAAGTGTTAGGGGCTGGCACTTAATTACACACTGGAGAGAGCCCAGGGAACAAAACACCTGCTCCATCAAGAAGGAATCACAGAGGGAGGGCCAGCATGCCTCCACCCTGGGGAAGGCAACGGGGTGCCTCCTCCCTCTGGAAGAAACCCGTTCGGACAGGCGGTGGGGGGGCCATACTGCCCCCGACTCAGGCAGGGAGCGCCCAGCTCACTGGTTTACTGAGCCTGAAGGCCACGCCCTGACAGTGGGAAGCGGGCAGCGTGTGTCAGGCGTCACCTCCGTTCCTGCCGGGGTTACTCTGGTGGAGAATCTGATGGTTCACTGAGTCTTCCAGAAACAGTGAGGAATCCCTCAGAGTAAGGCAAAACAACCCAGAGTGTGGTGAAGAAGGTGCTTCCCTGCGGATCCAGCACTTCTGATGACCACAAGACAACTCTTTTTAATTGGAGGTTTAATCACCAGGAAAATCTCGTTAGGTTACCGGGGTTGGGGTAGTTAACTACGCAAGCTATCTAGCCCGAACACACTACCACAAACTGCAGAGCTCAAGAAAGCCACCTCGACAAGCTCTGGGACTGGAAAAAGAACCTTGTCAAACCCCTCCCCAAACACTGCCTCTCAGGACAGGTGCTCACAGCAGCCCTGCGCTCCACAGCCTCTAGAGAGGCCGGGACCTGGCCCCACCAGGCTGGCCTCTGCTCCAGGGCTGTGCCATCTACTCAAAGAGCAGCAGCTTCCCCAAGGTCGGGGGATGCTTGGAATCTGAAAATCAGGCATCATGGCTCATGGAAGCTAATAAATGGATATAAATACAAGGCTTAGCTCCACAATTCCACTGAACATAATAACTGGATTTTAAAAAGTCACTAAAACCAAAGAATCCATTGAGAATAACTTTCAAATCTGCAAAACCTGCTCTGGGCAAACCCACATAACAGCACGATTAATGGTGTCCCAAAGAAGCATGTGTGTCTCCTGTCTTGGTCATCTCTAGATGGAAAACTATGTTAAAAGAACAATCAGGAGTGTGGCTTGTAGGAGTCTTGCACTAGAATACAGACGGCATTTCCGTACCATTCACGGTGAGCCTGGCCTTGTGTGAGTAGGTGGAGCCAAAGTGATTGGTGATGACACACTGGTAGCGACCCTCGTGTCCAAAGGTGACCTGACGAAGGTGCAGGATGGTGGTATACTCCATGACTTCCCCGTCCTGCGCGCGGACGTGGGCAAAGTTCTCCATGTCAGCATTGGCCAGGACCTCGTTGTCCTTCTTCCAGGCGAAGGTCATGGGGGAGCTGCTGCTGCTGGCTGCCGAGCACATGAACCGGATGTCCTTGCCCATCACGGCCATGGTTGTCTCTGGCTGGGTGATGATCTGTGGCTTCGGGAAGTCGTCTGGGGAGAGAAGGGCCAACCTGTAAGGCACCCAGAGCCCTGGTACACACAGGGACCAGCTGCTGTTCAAGCTAACGAGAAACTGGGTCCAACACTGAGCAGGAAGCAGAGATTTCACGGTCCCTGTGCATCCTCGGCCCACCAGATGCCCTAAGAGTTGCACATGGCTATCTGGCTTCATCCAGGTGTAAGTCCATGAGTAGTGATCACCTCTGTGGTCACACTCCTTGATTGGAAATGAACCCACCAGTACTCAATTACCAAACCAACCAGCCAGCAGTGTCCTTGCGAAGACTACAATTGGCTTTACCTGCTTACTTTTACACCAAACACACTTACAGAGTCAGATACCACCAGTCACGACTGCACAGACCTTACCCACAAACCTTACTCCAAAAGGAGGGGTGTGAAGCACGTCCCGAATTTCAGAATAAGGGCTTCCAAAAATTTGCACCTCTGTTAAAACCATGAAAACACCCACAAAAGTGGTCAAAATCTACTTTTCTGGAATTCTGGAAAAACCAAAGGCTTACAACGATCCATGGAGTGTTGATTCAAGAAAATAGCTGTATCTCAGTAAGAAAAGTGAACTCTGCGGTGTTTTATCCTAAGTTTCATTCCTCTCTCCCCTGCCCCATGGTAGCCTTGAAACTAGCAGCCTAGCAACCACTGAGGGGGTAGAATGTGTTTGCAGTGCCTCCAAATCCCCATCCTCAGAGAACCGTCCCTGTGTGACCTGTCAGCAACCCGAAAAGCACCATTCACAGAATTTGCATGTTTGCCCTAATGCAGTTTGCTCAGTAAGAGAAGCCCTATTTCATCTCCAGGGCATCTGACCAAAACGATGAGTAGCCACTGTTGAAGAGCATGGCTGTCTGAGGGGACAGGACCAGTTGGGACAAGAGGTTGGCCAAAAAACTAAAAAGGAAAAGCAGGTGAATGAAATGTCAATAGTGGGCTTTGCAAAGGCAACAAGTGCCTGGGGACCCAGAAGGCCACACACATGTGCAGGAAAGCCCTGGGTCGGGGTGGTCCTCATTCCTCACCTGTGGCAGAGCTCGAGGATCTGCACCTAACACACAAGCCCTGGGTAAAGGGTGGGAGAAACAAAGAAAAAACCGAGGAAAAATGAACAGAACCACAGAGACCTGTGGGATAGCATCAAGCATAACAGCATACAAAGAATGGGGGTTTAAGGAAAAGAAGAAAGAAAAAGGAACAGAAAGAGTATTTGAAAAAATAATGGCCCCAGATTTGATGCAAAACATGCATCCACACATCTAAAGGAGCTTAATGAACTCCAAGTAAAATCAGTTCAAAGATCCAGACCTAGACACATCATAGTCAAGCTGTCAAATGCCACAGACAAAGAATCTTGAAAAGAGCAGAGGAGGAGCTACTCCCGACATCCAGGGCATCCTCAGTCACATCAGTGGCTGATCTCATCAGAAACCGTGCAGCTCAGAAGGCAGCATGCACACATAGTCAAGTACCGAAAGAAAGACTGGCAACTAAGAATTCTATGTCCAGCAAAATTACCCCTCAAAAATGAAGGAGAAATTAAAATACTCCTGGATTTAAAAAAACATCAAAAAACCAAAGGAATTCATCGCTACCAGACCTATCCTACTAGAAATACTAAATACAAAATGACTAAATTGAAAGAACATCAAACAGTAATTCAAATCCACACAAAGAAATTAAAAAACACCATTATAGGTAAGTACAAAAGACAGTATAAATGTATTCTTGTTTGTAACTCTCTTCTTCTGATTTAAAAAGCAACTACATAAAGCAACAATTATAAAACTGTCTATGGGCTTATGTTATATTAAGATGTAATGTGTATGACAATAATAACACAAATGAGGGAGAGTGGATCTTAATAGGAGCAAACTTTTTGCATACTGTCACAGTTAACTTCATTATTTATTGGAACTAGATTACTTTAAGATGCTAATTTTAACCCCATAGCAAACACTAAGAAAATACTAAACATATATACATATGTATAGTAAAAGAAAAAAGGGAATTAAAATGGCATACCAGAACATCTATTCAATATAAAACTAGTCAGTAATGGAGGAATAAAGAAACAAAAGGATAAAACACACAGAACAAAGAGCAAGCAGCAAACTCTATACCTTATTATTAATTACATTAAGAGTAAGCAGATTAAATACTCCAATTAAAAACGATTGCTATAATGGATAAAAAATCATGACCCAGCTATGTGCTGTCTACAAGAGACATTTTAGATGCAAATACACAAATAGTCACTAAAAGAGACCTAGACTGTCCATATTAATAACACACAAAACAGACTTTAAGACAGAAATTTTTACTAGAAAGAATACTTTATAACATAAAAGGGTTCATCCATCAGGAAGACATAAAATTTATAAACATATATGCATCTAACAGAACTTCACAAAACATAAAATCTGACAGAATTGAAGAGAGAAATAGACAAGGCAAAAATAGTTTGTAGACGTCAATATTCCACTTTCAATAATGGATAGAACAACTAGGCAGAAGATCAACAAGGAAAGAGAAGACTTAACACCACCAACCAAACAGACCTAGCAGATATCGATGGAACACTTCACCTAACAGCAGCAGAATAAATACTCGTTTGAAGGGTACATGGGATATTCTCCAACAAAGTTTTTGTGTATACATGTATTTTCAATTCTCTCGCATATATACCTGGAAGTGCAACTGCTGGATCATGTCGTATTAAATAACTGTGTTTAACACACTGATTGCCACACTGAAAAAAAAAATTTTTTTCCCTGGGGCCACAGTGTTTTATTATGAAAATAGAATAGAAACATCAAAAACAAAAAAATTTAATGAAAAATTTGTTATTTTTTATCGTTTTCTGTGCACGAGTTATATGCAACTTGAAAAATAGTTCACGTGGCTCAGGGTAAAAAGACATGTGAGTTACGTATGCTTCACGAGGCCCCAGGTTAAAACTAGCGTGAGTTAAATACAGCTCACCCAGCAGTTAATGTGTTAACTGAGGAACTGCCAAGACTGTTTTCCAAAGTGGCTGCTCCATTTTACACGCCCATGAGCAGTATAGGACGGTTCAGATTTCTCCCTATCCTCATCAACACTTGTTGTTATCTGACTTTTGGACTCCAGCTATCCTAGTGGGTGTAAAGTGATTATGTTTCAGTTTTTTTAAAAAGGAGTGGGAGACTCCCACAGAGCCTGAAACTCTGATCTCCTGCCACGGTTTTCCTGATTCCCAGTAACACTGCACGGTGTTTTGGGGGAAGCCCAGCTAAAATGCAGGGAGGAGTGAGAGGAGTGAAAGAAACAACTGCTGCAAACCAGAACACGCCAGGGCCACGGGCTAGGGGCAGCATGTAGAAGTTCTACCTGGCTCATCCAAAGGGGGAGACTAGCCTATGGCAAGGAAGAGGAAGGAAGCGGCAAGAAGCTTAATTTTAGGGCGCTCTGTAAATAACTTGATTGTTCATTAAGGACTTGATGACCAGTGTTACACGGCCATTTTGTGCCTAGAGAGTAGCGCTGTGCACAGCCTTAGAGTCCACACAGAAGGCCCCACGAGACTGGTCAGTGAGAAAAGCTCACTTTGGAGGGCCACTGCCATGTGTACAGTATGTTCAAGACTCCTTCCTGGTCTGGATCCAGAGAAGGTTCTGGAAGCCTGCTTTCAGAAGTGGTGGGGGTGGATGGAAGTAGGACGCTTGTATCTTGTCTCCAGCAGGCTGACTGGCTATTGCTATGGCCAAAAAGTAGGACGGAGAAGTGACTCACAGGGATCCCTGTACCGCCAGGTGAGCCCCTGGTGAAGAGCACCACGGTGGGGATCCCAAGCCTCGGCGGGGGGGGCTGGAGGGACCCGCACCTGCCCCACCATTCCAGTCAGGCCTGGGACTCCCTCTTCCCTCCTGCTTAAAGCAAAACCAGGATCAGCTCAAAACTCAGCTCGTTCTTTGACCACATCTTCCTGACCGTAAGCTAGCGTGTGTGTGTGTGTGTGTGTGTGTAGCTGACCACCACTGCTCAAAAAAATAGCCATAGCCAGATCTATGTTCCAACAATCAGAAGGCAAAAAGGGTTTAAAGTTGCAAGTGCGGATTTCAGTGGCTTGGAGAAATAGCAAGAGTAGAAGACTACATCAAGGAATTATTTTTACTATAGCAACTGTTCTCCTGAGACTTGTTCTTCCTGCATTTAACCTTTCATTCTTGGGGTTGGAAAGAAACACACATTAAAACCCCAGCCTCATACACTGAGTAAGTTCACAGCGAAACCCAGGCACCAGAGCCCTTTTGAAACACAGAACTATCTTCCTGTAACTGATTTTTCTGATTTGTAATTGAACCAACTCTTATTCCCTTCTGATTAAATGCATGTACTCCAAGAACCACATAATGAGGCAACTGGGCGGTAAATACGGTGTGTGGTTTCACTGGGAAATAAGCTGCATCCAGCAGCTGATCTGGGCGTTACTCTGATCACAGGAATTACTCCCATACTGAAGAGTTCCTCCGCGCCCTGCGTGAGGAAAAGAAAAAGTCACAAAGTTGGTCTTACCACACACGAAACTCTCTGGCGACACTGAGAAAATGCTCTGGCCCTTCAGCGATTCTGGGTGGGCACAGGTGGCTGTCACGAAGGTTTGCAGCATCCTGCCCGTCAACCACGGGGGCAGCCACTTCAGCTGACAGTCACACAGGAAGCTATCACTGCTGATATGGCTGAAAGAAAAGAAAAGCGGATGCTTGAAGTGTGGCTGCAAAGGAGGGTTACTCCCTTAATGCCTGGAAGGACTGATCGCCTCTGATCAGCTTCTCAGGTTAACACCAAGCAAGCGGGAGGGGGAATGATCTTCCTCACAGTTCTCCAGTGACTCAGAGCAGTGTGCATAACCCACCTGGAGATTTTGATAAAATGCAATTTCCGGCTCAGTTAGAAGCGGAGCCCAGGATTCTGCATGTCTAATAAGCTCCCAGGTGATGCTGGTACTGCTGGTCCAAGGACCACACCTGGAGTAGCACAAACCTAGAGTTTACCCATTCTAAGACAAACACTTGTTCCTATGTGACCCTGGGGACACCTTTAATCTTTCCTGGCCTCTGATACATCCAATAGTGGTGAGCTACCGCTGTCCCTTCTCTGGTTTTTTCCCACTTTCCTGATAAGCTACTTAGAGTTTCCAAATTCAACCTGGATTTAAATTCTGTAACAAGTTCTGAAAAGGGCTCTTTTCCTATGTGGCTGTTATTTTTCAATTTGGCAAAGCTGCGTGTTTTCTTACTTCCAAACGTAAGCCTCGCCAACATGCTGCCCTCGTGTTTGTGTATTTATCTCGGCACCAGCGTTGTTCGGGAGGCCAGCAGAATTCGGCTCCGCTCCCTAAATAGTGCTTGTTAGTTAATAGCCACTGCCCAGGGAGCATGAGAATGCATGACTCTGGTTTTGTGAGGCTCCAACCAAAACAGACAATATTTTCTTTTTCATTTCTCAGCAACTGTGGATAAGCTTTTTAAACAGAAATCGAAATCGCCATCTCGGTGGACATTCCTTCCTGAGGAGTCACTCGAAGATAAGTCACCCAGAGAATCTAGCTGCCCTGTTCCTGGAAGACCTCAGGCTACGGATGAGCTGAAGAATGACGGCCAGCACACGACAAGGGGAAGACGCAAGAAACAGCAGGCTTCCCTGTAACAAACTGTCTGTGGTACACGGTGACGAAAAGGGGATGCAGGTATGCTTAGAAATTTCACAAAACCATCATCGCACAGGCCAATGGCACGGCAATGGCCTCCTTCTCCACTCACCGCTATCCTCAGACATCAACAAAGCAACCAAATGGACTGACTTCTTGTTTTCTTCTGTTTCACTCTGGCCTTCTAATGAGCAGAGAAGCTGTCAAACTAGTGAACAGCAAGGATGAATGAAATTTAAGCCGGATACCCCAAGGCTGACTACATTAAGTAAAACCTGCTCTTCCCTCCTGTTCTTCCTCTCCCCATTCCCAGATGATTTGGGCACCTTATTAAAATAATTCTGGGAAGTGATTTTCCAAAGACTGAACTAGTATCTCAAAAGCATTATAACCAGGATGCTGACCTGTAACAGACCTTAAAATCAGTGTGAGACTTTGTATTTTTATTTGATGGGCAGGTAGTGTTCTGCTAAGAGATATCTGGAGGGCTGTCCTCTTAGAGTTACTCTAGGTGGCAGAAGGGCCCTCATGGCCCACCAGGGGAAAATGGCTGGTTCTCACGCAGCACGCGGGGTGGGGAGCTTCCCAGGAAGGAGCTCTGTGTAGTGGCTGGGGAGGCTGCGCCAGGCACTAGGGAACTCATCAGCCTCCCACTCAGAGCACCTCCAGCTCCCCATCAAGAGGGCATTTCTGCACGGTCACGCAGAACAGCTTGGACACTATGTGAACGCTTAGAGGAGGATGCTGGGCCACGAGTGTGAGATGTTAGGCACTTACATGGAGGCCAGCGACATATTTAATTTGAGCCACAGGAACAAAGTGGGGAAAACAAATGTGACATTTCCTTGATTAGGCACGGGGGTGGAAAGAGTTAAGCCTCATAGCACACATTTGGTGGATTTGTGGGGTTTAGCACCTTTGAGGATTTCCTGCCGCCTCCACAATGAAACCCACCTCAGAGAGGAGAGCAGACCCCAGAAAGACAGCTGGTACCTGGGGTGGAGGGAGGGTGGACCTAAAGGACCTAAAGGACAGATGGAAAGGGACTGTAGCCAGACAGCAGTGAGGACACTGACCCTGACACACGCACACACGTTACCATAAAGACCAAGGCCCGTGGGCAGACTGGACGCAGGGGCTATGGGCAGCCCCAGGCCCCGCACGCGCTGCTGCTATTCTTCCTTCACTGTGGAAAGCACAGCCTCGTCAACCCCGACAGGCACTGCCCTGTAGCTCCCGCTTCCAGCCGTCCCAGTCTTCGCTGGCTCACATGGTACGTTTTCACGATTCCAACTCAAAGTGTGTTTCTAATCATTGCTTGTGGAAATTTACCCAGAAGATGACTAAGTGCACAGTACAACCTGCCTTGATCCGATGGGGAAGAAAATGACCAAGTGGAGTTAACCGTTTCTCCCATCAGAGGACTGGGCCCGCGGCCAGCCCCAGCTGGGTACGTGCAGCGGCTGATGGGAAACCCAGGCGGGGAACCCAGGCTGAGCCTCCAGAACCATGCAGAAGCACAGTGCGGGGAGGCCCAAGCTTCACGGAAGGGTCCAATTCTTCCCAACTAGAAAATGGTCTCATAAGAGGCCGTAAGGAAAATCTTTCTCCCCCTCCTTCCATCAAAATACCCTCTTCCCATTTTATCAGATATTTTTTACTCCCAACACTGTGTTTGAAAGTTTCAAAGACAGGAAAGTTGAAAGAACTGTACAGGAACACTCACAAACCCACCACTTGTCTTTTGCAATTAACGTTTTACTCTACTTGCTGTATCATATATCCATCCGGCCTTCTGAAGTGGTCTGGAATCATTTCCTCCCTTCCCTGGAACGGGAGCCATGGAATCCCTTCCTCATAGTACAAACTACCCAGATAGACAAGAGCAAAACTGCTGAGGCTGAATGAGGGATGGCGCAGAACAGAGCAGCTGCTCACAGAGCCCCGAGGCTCCACTGGACCTGCCGCGACTCCCGTTTGGAGATCCAACCTCCTAAGGAAGGCCACCTGCTCGGCACGCTTGAGTCTCACAGCCAGCCAGGTCATGAGGCAAGTGTCCAGACCACCTCACTCAGAGAACGCCACCCGGCCCACCTAGGTTCTCAGCTACGGGGACTGCACCCCATTTCCCCATTCCTACCCTCCCTGCCCAATTGGGGGTCCACCAGGAGTGGCCTCAGCATGCGGATAAGGTCAGTACACAAAGATGAGCATCCTCTGGCCTTTGCCATTTTGACAGCACCTCTAGAAACCAACAATTACACCATTAGGGAACTGATACTAGAAATTACTGGCTGCAGAATCGGATTCATGTACAGGAAAAAGAAAGGGAACGTGGGTGTTGCTACCTGCATACCTAGACTAGCGCCCCTACCAGGGACTAGGATACAGGTAGGCTCTTCCAACCCTTGTTACCCAAGAGCCCATGGTTAATGTCCATGGTGGCACCACTACCTGTCCCAAGGGCCTCGCAGAGGGTGTGGGCTGGGCACCCCCGCACACCGAGCACCCACGGCCTCCACCTCACTCAGCCTCAAGCTCTTCGAAGCAGCCCCTCCCAGTGCAGGGCCTTCACTTTAGGCACACTCAAAAGATGAAAACTTGTCTTTGACATAATTAAAGGGATGATTATCCACCTTATAGAACAGTGTTTATTTCACATTATCTAGAACAGTGGTTAACAAATTACCTGTTTTTGTCAATATGAATTCATGGGCACACAGCCACACCTGCTTGTTTATTATTTATGGTTGCTTTCTGCTACAACACCACAGTTGAGTAATCATGACAGAGGCCCTGTGGCCTACAAAGTCCAAAATATTTACTATGTGGCCCTTTAAAAATATGTTTGCCGACTCCTGGACCAGAGTAAGCCCCACAGGGCATTTTTAAGGACAACACGTACGTACGCCTATAAACGATCACGGGCCTTACATAAAGTGAGAATACTGCAATTACAGGTGTTTCTTACTCAAAGTCTCCACTCATGTTAGCCAAAGCCATGGAATCAAGGTACTTACAGCTCCTTAAGATTCTTCATCTTCGCAAAGGCATCAAACTGGACAGACCTGATTGCATTCTCTCCAAGGTTCCTGAAAGAGAGCATAATTACTCAGAGAAACCCTAGGTACAAATTAGGACAGCCCTGGTTTCACGGATAACCCACAGCCCCTAGCCAGACCTGGGTCCTAACTCCGCTGCAGGTGGCTGTTATTTCATACACACTGACACAAACCCAGGGAACGACTCTAGAACCAACCCAGCCTTAAGGACAGCATCAAAGCTAGGCTGAGGCCTGCTCGGCAAGTCAAGAAGCAGAACCTTTGCAACAGAATTAAGGTCAAACTTGATTCAAAGAGGAAATAAACTAAGAATCACATACTAGAGGCATCTGCCCCAGATGGCAGCAATGTGGACATCTCAGGGCTGGCTCTGTCCCCTTCCTCCCAGGGCCTCAGGAGCAAGCACACCAGTAGGAAAGCTCCCGGTGGGGCCAGTGTGTGCGTGACGTTGTTAAGCTGCTTTTGTGGGGCTGTCAGGCTTGGCCAGGATGAAGCGCCCAGTGGAAGTGGCCATGAGACCAGGGGCCCAGGAAGGAGCCCGGTGCAGTGGTGAGGCGGCACGGCGGGAGGGAGGAAGGTATTTATCCACATACCAGTTGTATTAATTGGGAACACGCTAACTGGCCATATGTTCTGTAACTGTTCCCGGCATAGGCAAAATAAAGGCCAAAGTTGAAGCTGACTTATAATGAGAAGGAAGCAGCTGGCCTTTCCAAATAGCCTGTTTCTCGGTTTACAAAGATGCGATTAAATTGCTAGCAGACTTCCCCGGCAGTCGCGTTTGGCAGGCCTGCATGTCAGGCGGGGTCTGGCAAGATACTCACAGGTGCTCCAGGCCTTCCAGCCCCGAGAATGCTCGCTTAGCCACGGACTTGATCTTATTTCCAAACAGAGTACTGTAGTTTCCAAACATCCAGCAATTGGGGGGTGGTGGGGGAGAGAAAAGGGAGGGTTGGGAGAAAGAGAACACGATTAGAGCAGTGCTACCTGATAAGTCTGCAGTGAGGGCAGGCGGAAAGCTGACCGGCGCAGAGATTATGGGTCTGAGGTACACAGGCCTCCCCTTTTCTGAAATGAAACACTTTTATCTTTATTAGAATTTAATAGTGATGACAGGCTGGAATTGCATGCACCATCTGGCCTAAAAGGGAACCCTTGCAGTGTGAAGTAGGAAGTCACCTTGTCCAGCCTGGGCCGTCCTTCTCCGAGGACCACCCAAGGGGAGTGGCGGGCGAAGTTTTGTGATGGTCTCGCAGGAGGGATGGGACTGGTTACTGATTCGGCGAGAGGAAGCAGAGGCAAAGAAGATACTGAAAACTATGCAACTTAAAACTGCCACCTACTTCTGAGAACTACATTCTGGGGATAAAAGTTCCCAAAAGAGGCAAGAGAAGGACAGCAGAATTGGCACTGATCAAGATGGCTCCGTAGCGGTTCGGCAGCCAGCACGCAGCCACGGCGAGCTGCATCTGTGCCTGACGAGCAGGCCGCTCAGGGCCTGCGGGAGGCCCGGCGCTTTGGCTTCTTGAGCCAGACCCCAGATTTTACATGATGTCAGTGGGGCCGAGGCTGACTCCCACACAGGCAGGTCCTCAAAGGGCAACCTCCAAGGTTATTCAGTGCCTGTTCCCCATGAGCAGGGGCTCATGCTTCAGGCAGCTCCAACCCCAGCAGTAGCAGTAACTGTCAGAGTTTTCTCAGAAACCCAAGTCTGTCCCCTGCAATGCACATGGAAGAAACGAGTGCCTCTTCTGTGGGGCTGTGTAATCCCAGGGAGGTTTGTTTCTACACACAGGAGCCCCTAGAGTGTGCTGGCTGCTGGGAATGAACAGAGTCAGGTTTTCCTTCCTTGTGTTCAGGTTCTCTGAGAACCCACCAGAGGCATTCCCTGTAGTCTGGTTGGCACAGGAAGCCACCTGCCAGGGAGCCACCCTTGGTGATGCTGACCATCAGCCGTGTGGACTCACCGACGTTAAGGTCCCCCAGGGTTATCTAAAGGGCTTGCTAAGAACATCAACTGCTGGGAGCCAACAGGTCCAGTACAGGAACTGCTGGTGGGCAGGGGAGAAACAACTCTGCAGAGAGTCAGTCTGGGAAGGCCTTGTCCAGCATCCCAGTGAGAATCAGGGACAAGATCTGGAGTAGAGGCCAGCTCTCCCTTCAGCCTGCATTTAGACTGGGATCCACAAGGGAAGACCAAAAGCACCAGCCCCTCCCTAAAAGGAAGAAAGAAAGGAAACGTGAGCTCTGCAGAAAAACAAACACGGCAGCGCAGCCTGCGCCTCGCTCACCACACACCGAGCTTCATCCGAATCGCAGCAGGCCCAGGGGAGCGCCCGGGCAGGTACCAGGAGTACCTGGGCAGGTACATAGCCCTGCCCGGAGCCACAGGAGGAGGCGCCGGCTCAACCTGCTCCCAAGGCACTGCCAGCCCGTGTAGCCACCTCTGGGGCCACCTGACTGCAGGGGCTTCCTGACCCTCAGTTTCATCAGAAGCAGACTCCTTCCTGGGGGCGTCCTAAGCAGTCCCCCACAGCAACTCCGAGTTCAGCCTTCGGACAAAGCCAGCTCTGTTTCCTGTCCCTGGAGGGTGAAGGGGCAAACAGGCCAAAGACCCCTCAGCCTTTTCTTTCTCTCAGAGGCGGTCTGCATGGATGTGCAAACAATTTCATCCCGAAAGACTTTCTGCAACCTCTCTCCATCTGAAAACTTATATTAAGACAAATAAAGCAAACACACAGAAAAGGCAGTGGCTGTGCGGACTTAGGCTTCTCAACCACAGAACCAGCTAGCAAATCACAGCTCACGGGACACTACACCCCCAGCGCTTCGGAGCGCGCTGCCAACTTCTACACTTAATCAGATCTCCCAGGCCGAGGCACTGCGGGCTCCAGGTCCTAGTAAAAACGTATTGAACTGTTTAGTGAAATCTCCCGTAAACTAGATCCAGGAAAAAGCTGTGCTTTATTTCATCCATTAAATATTAGTCACACTGACCTCTTTTACAATGAGGGCATGCTGTTATTTCTAATGGTGACAATAGCAATAAAACAAATTCTCAAATTCTCAATTACGCAGGGGCTAATCATCCTGTTGGTGGATTAAACTGGTCCTTACCCTCCCCCTGCAGACATCTGGGGCCGGGGGAGGAGTCCAGGCAGGCAGGCTGGGATGGCTCTAATAAAGGACTGCTGGGAGGAGAAAGAGCTGTGACTGTGGGCCGGGAGGACGCTATTCCTGTCCCACAGCCGGGCTCCCAGGGAAGGGACAGCTGGCCTGGCCTCCCCAGCATCAGCCTCGAGCAGGCAAGCGAGGGGAGTCACTGTCAGATTCTCCCACCCACCTCCTGCCAGCCTAGCCAAGGGCTCCCAGGCCTGCTGGGCACGTGCTGATGCGGGTGGCAGGCACTGGGCCAGGGCTAAGGTAGACATGTGCAAAGCCCCCCCGTGAACCCCACTCTGCAGGCCCAGCCCCACCCAGGCAGGAAATCAGGAGGCTTTGCCTCCTCGTGCAGTTCTGCATGTTCCCCCAAACACAAACACACTCCTCACACTGCCCACGTGGGGCTCTGCCTCCTCCCGAGGTGAGACCACCTCGCAGACACCTGCAAACACGAGTCACTTGCTGCCCCTCTCTGCCTGTATTCTGGGCTTCAGAAATCCTCCCTTCCTCCTCACATACTGACTGTGCACTGGGCAGGCCCCCAGCAGGGGAACCCTAAACCATCTTGAAACAGGGCCCTAGGGCAGGTCAGTATGGTATCATAATCCCAGGCAAACTCGGAAGAAAGGCAGGCACTGGAGAGTAGGAACATTCTTGTCCTGCCGGGAAGCTGCGGTCTGCTGAACTACCCCCAATGCCTGTGCTCAGCAGGTGGAGAGCGCAGACAGGGCAGCGGCCACCCAGTCCTCAGAGGGGCCTCTGTGGCCCACTTCTTCCTTTCCTGGGGACACTGGGACTTAGGTCCGGCTTCTTACATGGTGGAAGGACCCTGGGTCCTTGAATAGGTCAGTGATGGCGAGAGTCTCCTTCTCGTGAGGTAGACCCCTGACACCAGCCCCTCGAGCGCGCCACAGGCAAACCCACGCCAGCCCAACGAGAGTCAGGGCACCGACCGCCACCTCCACAGGATGGAGCTCGCATCTGACGCGGCAGCCCTTCTCTGTGCTAACACACGCGGCCTTTCTCAGCGGGTCCCAGACTTGGCACTGGGCCGCCGACACGGGGTGATACAGTGTTGTGGCCGCTTCTGCAGCCACGGCCACAGCACAGAGCTTTCCCAGCAATGCTGGGGGGGCGGGGGTGCAAAGCAGCACTGGGTCCTCTCCCACGAGCCTACACAGTGCCAAACACAGTGGTTTATACGAGGCCCGTGCGCCAGGATCGCGTGGAGATTTTCACGTACCGTCGCAGGTAGACGTCAGAGTCTCACGAACCCCCTTTGCCCGTCACACAGCCACAATCATCCAATCGCGCCAATCTCATTTCGTCTCTACCTCTGCCCACTGCCCGTTCCCTAGCACAGCTGGATTAGCTGGAATCCAAATGACACCACATTATTTACTTTTTTATTCAAGAAGAAAAGGATTTCTCTTTCGCAACATAACCATGATGCCATCACACTTAAATAACTGACAGCACATATTTAATCAAATTAAGGAATTCTTGTTATTGTCCCAGTTTCCCCTGATTGAGTACGTCTGTCTGTCTGTCTCTCTCTCTCTCTCTTTTAAAAACTCGTATGGAGCCTCCAGCCCTCCAGCCCCATGATTCAGTGACATTGGGCGGGGTCCGCGCTGGGGATACTCACAGCTTGCTGAGGCTGTCGAGCCCTGTGAAGGCGCCGCTCGTGTCCTCTATTGTGCCCGAAATCTCGTTGTGGTCCAGATCCCTGGGGAGAGGACAGAAGGCAAGCTCACGGTCCAGTGTGAGCACGAAAGGGAGAACGGGCTCCCACCCAGCCTGCCACCTGGAAGCTGCAGTCACCTAGGTGCAACCTGGCGACCCAGCCGTAATACACAGTGAAGAGAAGGGCGGCCCTGGGAGGGAGGCCCTGCTCTGCACACCTTGCAGGGCGGGATGCCTTTCTCGGCCTTTCTGCAAAGCTCACACAAGCCTTAAGCACGAGGCTTCCCCAGGCTCCCTCTGCAGCTTCCGCGTCGAAGGCCACGCTTGCGGGAAGGGAGGCCGCGCAGACAGCCCAGTTTGTATTCTGCCCCCAGAGAGCAGACATCTGGCCCCTGGCACAGAGAACCAGCCCGAAAGTTTCCTTAAAAGTTCCTGTCTGCTCTCACACCAACCAGAGCCCCTTTCCTGGACTTGATCAAAAAACTGTGAGAAGTGCACGAAGGAAAGGATGGCGAAGAAAGAGGCCCCTCAGTGCCGGCCAGCGGGTCTGGAGCCTAAAGCCCATCTCCTCCCAAGGCCTGCGCAGCACTGACTCTGAGCCAGTGAGGACATCTGGGTGCTGAGTCAGACTTGCGACCCACTCGCCAGGATCAGGGAGGTGAGGCCAACTCCTCGGCCCAGGCCCCTCCAATAATGAAAATCCCAAGGCTGATGAATCAGCAGCCTCCCCACTTCCAAGGGCGGGTCACGGTGCCCAGGCGAGACATCACACCTGGCGACCAGGCCCCCATTCTGCCCTCTCCAACTTTCCACAAGGTTCTTGGTTCCTAAAATCTCCTGCCTTGAGCTCCTACAGATAGCGGCCAGGAACAGAAGGGATGCTGCTCTTGGCCCCCGGGAGAACCTGCGGCAGGAATCGATGCTGCCAGTAGGAAGGGAGGGGAGCTCTGGCTGAAGAGTGCAATGCTTGCTGTGACCTTTATTTTACAGCAGGAAGCTCCAAGAGCCGGTTTTGCTTCTGGAAGGGACTTCTTTCAATGGGTTCCTCCCTATTATCTTCCTACTGAAAAAACCAGGGACCCAGGGCTGCGGCTTTGTGTGCCTGTCTCCCTTTTCCTAGCCCTGGCTGCCAAAGTTTTTCTCTTCTTTCTGGCCAGCTCAGTCTGAATGTTCCCAGCCTTGTTATTCAGGCCTTGCGAGGGTTCGCAGGCTGACCTTGCTTGAATAGCTTGGCTCCGGGCTCTTTCACACTCCCAACAATGGCTCTGCTTGCTTTAAAGCCAACTGCCAGGTGCAAGTGCAACAGCCCTCCTCCCTGTCACATGCCTGGGAAGGAGGCCTCAGAACCCACTTCCACTGTCTCCACTACGTCGTCTTTGGGGGCTTTGTGCTGATATTTGCTTGGAAGTTCTCTGAAGTCAACAATGGAAAAGTTTTATAAAAGTCCCAGAAAAGCATCCTGCAGCAACTTCTGGCAACCCCACCTAATTAGGAACTTAAAGGGAAATGGCATTGTCACCTCCGCTTTGTCAAATGACCTCCTAATGAGGTGCAAGGAAAGACATGGGATCCCCAAGTACCTCTCCGGGAACAAGGCATCCTAGACTCAGGGTATGCTGAAGCTCAACTACTAGGACCAGGAGATGAACTGCAGGCTCCACTTGGCTTGGAGAAAAAATATTTGGGACTTAAAAATGGAAGTCACAACTGGAAGACTCCAGACTGGAAAAAGTGACCCCACGGCTGCCGTTCCGAAGGCTGCTCCAGGCACTCAACGGGGGGGAAGCTTTTCCCAACAATAGGACCACAGCAACCTGCCCAGCACCATGTGGGAATTACTGCTTGGTAACAATTTATCGGGCATCATCCTGGGGGAATGTGAGAGATTTTTCTGTTCAACCAGTTCTTTTCAGTTGCTTATATAAAAGTTTGAGACTTTGCACACCTAACAAGTCAGCTTTGGATCCTATTCTGACTCGAAGCCAGTGAGAACAGAATTCAACAAAGTAGCTGGTCTGTCCCACCGTGTTCTCCCTACTGGGGACCCCTTCGTTCTGTGGAGAGTGAAAGACGTACAAGACTCGCAGGTTCTTGAGTCCCTTGAAGGCGCCTTCCGCGACGTGGCTGATGGCATTGTGGCTGAGACGCAGGACACTCAAGCTGCTCAGCTCTGCCAGGCTCTCCTCATCCAGCCGAGTCAGGTTGTTGAAGGACAGGACCCTGGGGGGCCGGGAGGAGGGGAATGTCACCACCAGGCCACGGGCAGCTGCCCTCCACTCTCCTTTCCTGAACACCGAGCCGCAGCTGGCCGGATCTCAGTGGGAAAGGACACACACGCACGCCCAGAGAAATACCAAAGGAATAAGTGGCCGTGCAGCCAGAAACTCATCAGGGCCCAACATCCATCTAGTCTGACTCCTAGAATGGTCGTGTAGGTCACAGACACCAAGGTGTCCATTCGACTGTGAGGACTACGCAAGGTCGTGCGACACAAGGACTCTCAAGGCTTGAACCCCTTCATGCTGGTGTCCATGGCTGGTCTTGATTCAGGCTACAAAGACCTCTCAGGGCAGAGGCCTGAGACTCTGGACAGGACCCCAGCAGGTTCTGACAGTGAGCCAGGGAGCCCCCGTTACTCCTGGCATTGGCCAGCAGAGGGCACCACTGGCCGCTGCCTCGGAAGCCATGGCAGCATCTCACACCTTAGCGGGGACTGCAGGTTTCCGCCCAAGTCACCTCTGAGTGTCAGAATCCAATCTCCCTCCCGGCATTGCCACACCTGACATAGCCCTGAGTTGATTACTTGATACACTGGTCATCTATCGTTGAAAAATGGCGAATTGGGGCTGGGGCAGGAAGAAGGAAAATAAATTCAGAGAAGATTAACTAGTTTTTAAAGGTGACAGGGAGCAACATTCTTTCTCTCCTGGACAAATAAGTCACGGTGTCTGTCGGTCTCAAAGACCTGGCAGGAGATCAAAATTACATCCTCACCTGCAATTAAAGAATTTAGCTTAAGGAGGGGCAGGAAACACATGCTGGAAAGCAATCCAAAATCTGGCTCCGCAGTCGCCTGGAGATGGGGCCAACTGCTGAGACTGGTCAAGACACCCTTCCATGACCTTTCCTGCACCTTCTAAAGGGCACAGAAGACAGCTTCGTGTTGTCCACCAGCCCGAGGGTGATTCCTGGGAAGCTCAAAGGCCCGCCAGGGGGAGGACACCTTCCCACGGACTCACACACCCTGTGGCGGTCACAGAGGCTGCTCCTCGCCGTGGGAAGTGGGCTTGCTCGGGCTTGGGGCACTCAGAGGACTTCTCCTGCTTCCCCACGGCTCCAAGCCCTGACAGAACCAGAAGTCCTCAGAGCTCACTGGTGGGGCACAGCCTGAGGACAGAACTTCTCAGAAGCCACCCAACACTAACTGAAATGTACAACTCCAGTGCCCTGAAGCTAACCCCACAGGGTTAACACTAACACACACAAAACCCAAGGGCAGTGAGCACAAGGATAGAGACAGAACTATTGCGTTTTGCACTAGATAATGATGGATTCATCAAAATACAACCTCCAGGCCGGTGTGGTAGGAGGTGTGTGTGTGTGTGTGTGTGAGAGAGAGACAGAGAGAGAGACAGAGAGAGAAGGAAGGAGGGAGGGAGGGACAGAACACAGAAGACCAGATGAAAACACCATCTGTAAGAATCCACATTCAGGTCAAACACCCCCTTGAGTCTGCCTGGTGAGGCTGAGAGGGGACAGACTGAGGTGAGGCTTGGCACCCATAACAACTGTTCACTTCAGTGGGTGAATCTTTTCCTACAGCCAAGCTTAGAAAAGGAAGAAAAAAAGAAAAAAGAGAAAACCCACCCAAACTCTCTTCAAAAATAAAGAAACCTACTAGACTAACCTAGAACATATCAAACTGAAAGAACAAACTTAGCGGAAACCTGGTTTTTTCCTTCCAAAAAACCCAGTCTTTGCAAGATGGGACAGAAACAGAGCAACGGAAGTGTGTTCCCAGAGCCCCCGGCAATGCTGCACTCACTGTCGACAACCCTGCCCTGGCCTGAGACATGGCCAAGTCCACATCCCCTGCCCCCACCCAGGAAAGTCCGTCACCACTGATCCCGGAACCTGGGGCACCATGAGCTCAGGAGTTCTCAGGCCCAACCTGGATGTCCCCTCTGGAAACATCCAAAAGGAGCAAGGGGGCCATGCTTCTCTCAACGAAGCGCAAGCGTATACCCAGGACCGCATGGGCGCCTTCACGACTTGGCTGCTGGAATGCACAATGGGGATGGGGAAGGTGCCAAGAGCACGGCAGCTTGTCTCCAGGAAGGAAGAGTGTGTGGCCACCTCTCTGTTGCACGGACTTTCTCGAATGTGCCGTTCTGTGTCTGAGCCCAGATGACCCCTTTCATTAAAGTACACTATTTGGTGTGGCCGTTAGCACACTCTCAAAACAGCTACAGTGAGGACACTTCTTTTGGCTGCCCTTTCCCAAGACAGCCCTCTACCCCAGGAACTTTCTCCAAACCCAAGAAGGCCTTGGGGGCAGAGGCTCCCTGCAGGGGCCTGGGTGCTGCTCCTGTAGCCCCTGCTAATCCGAAAGCAGGGGGGGGCAGAGAGTACATCAGGAAGGGGCTCAAGCTCAAATCACTGAGGGTCCTGCTCTGGGCCTGGCTGGTTTGGGGGTCCATCTTCTGTCCAGCACAGGGCTACTGGCCTGCTTGCCTCTGAGCTCCCTTCCCACCCGAACCCGCTCCCGGTCCAGGGTGCTGTGGAATGAGCCAGGACTAAAGCTTTCTGGGCTTGGGAGAATTCACCTATAGGCAGTGTCTCAAAACCCCATCACAGTCCACAAGCGAGGAACTTACAACTCATGCAGCTTCCGGCAGAAGCTCCAGCCGTCACGGTGAATGCGGGAGATGGAGTTGTTGCTGAGGTGCAGCTGGTGCAGGGCTGTGAGGCCGTACAGAGAGCCGCTGTTCACTTCCAGCAGGCTGTTGTACTCCAGGTGCCTGCAAGGACAGCCACACGCAGGATGAAGAGGGGACTTTCACTCATTCATTCAACAGACAGCAAATAAGGAGCCGCTCTCTATCAGATACTGCAGTCAGCACCAAGGGTGTAACAATGCACAAAAGAACTGGAGTGAGTGAGTGCATGAGAGAGTGTGTGCACGTGTGTGCACACACACCGGAACTGGGAGAAGACAGGCAAACAAAACAGACGATGGTAAGTGGCAAGGCAGACTAGAAAGTTCAGAGGAGTAACGTTTTTAGCTAAGTAAAAGTGAACCAGGCAAACAAATGGGCAGAGGCATTCCAAGTAAGGGCAAAACCCATTAAAGGACTAGAAAGGAGAGAGAACGGGAGGCAGCTCTCATGATCACCCCATCTTACAGGGAGAAATCTGCAGCTGAGTGAGACTAGCTAGGTAACTTGTCTAAGACTCCACAGCTTAGCAAGTAGTAAAGGGGCCAGAACAAATTCAAACCCAGGTCTGGCCAGCAAAGGCTGGGCTCTGCAGCACTGTGCCACAAGACCTGGCTTTAGCTCTGGGCTCAGACTACTTGGATTAAATTCCTAATTGTGCCACTTCGCTGGCTGAATGAACCTGAACATCTGTAAAATGGAGATAACCAAGAACATGGACTTCACAGGGCCCCTATGAGAAGGAAGTAATAAAGTACACGTCAGGATTTTAGCACAGCGCTGAGGACTTAGCTCTCCACAAGTTCATTAAGTATGCTTTTATCCTGCGTCTCCATGTGGCATATGCTAGCCCAGGTCTACCCTAGATGAGTCCACTCTTTAATAAAAGTCACTAATTCAAATTTTGCTCCATGTTCAATATTATAAGGACATTGAGCAACCAAGTTCGTGCGTTCATTCATTCCTTCCTTCCCACTTAATTTATAAATAACCTCTAGGGCAACCCATCACTCCTAATTTGTACAATATCGTTCAACACAAAAACCAAATGGATGCCGGGCACAGTGGTTCACGCCTGTCTTCCAGCAGTTTGGGAGGCCGAGGCAGGAGGATCACCTGAGGCCAGGAATTCGAGGCCAGCCTGGGCATCATAGCAAGAGCTCATCTCTGCTAAAAATAAGAAAAATTAGCCAGGTGTGGTGGCATGCACCTGGGAGGCTGAGGTGGGAGGATTACTTGAGCCCAGGAATTCAAGGTTACAGTGAGCTATGATGGAGCCACTGCACTCCAGCCGGGGCAACAGAACAAAGAACCTGTCTCTTTCAAAAAAACAAAACAAACAAAAACACCCCAAATGGCAGGTGCTCCATCTTCTGAGAATTCTCTTTCCATTTCATCCTCCTACCCAGCACATGACCACCTGGATTTTCAAAGTCCAAAATGACAGTTTTAAGGATTTCAAGTTAAAGTGTTTTGAATGCGGAAAAGCAGAGGTCCAGCTGAGGGCACGAAGGAGGAGAGTGGGAAGCCCAGCAGCAGCTCATGTCCTTGCTGCACACAGTGTGCGTGGGAAGGATGGTCACCTGGAGACACCCGGACAGTGAGCACAGCAGAACATGAGCATGGACCTGGACCCAGCTGGTTTCCAGTATGAAGATAACCAATAAAGGACATAAAAGTCATGATATAATTTGCAGACTGCAGGGGGGACATGGCTGCTGTCATGAGCAAGTTAAATCATTGACTCTAAAGCAGGAAATCTCAAGTTGACAAGTGAAGATAGTGGCATGAGCGGATGGACCTGGAAGTAACCACCAGCAAGACTAAAAACAGAAAACCCAAAAAGAAATGCTCAGAAGGGACAGCCTCCTGGGAGAAGAACTGGAACTAAGAGGGAGCAAGGGGGTGGGAGCAGGCAGGGACTGCTTTTCTTTACTATCTGATTTTACTTAACTATGTGGATGCATTACTTTTGATTAGATATAAACAAATTTTCATGTTTAGAAAGAGAAGATTAGCAATTGCCTTTTCTGTACGCTTCTTCGTTGTTGTTTTACGTTACACAGGCAGGCAAGCACGTTCTGCTATTGTACGCATCTGGTTTAGAGAGAACGCTCCCTTGATAAAAGCTGAACATCTGCACCCAGAGTCTTGATTAGCTCACAAGACAGAAATAAATCTCCTAGGATGAGCTATACATATTTGGCCCACCTGCACATCAAGAAGGACTGTCAAACCCAAAACGGGGAGAGAAGGAACTTCCTGTGGTGTGTGGGAGTGGAGAGGATGTGGGGAGGGGTCTGTTCTGCAGCCCCACGTTCACGGAGGAAGCAGGGGCGGCAGCAGATGTGGCTGGGGGGCAGGTGGGAGCAGGCCCAGCACAAGGGCTCCCTCCCCCACCTCCATCAACCAACTTACCTGACTTTATCCACTGAAACTTCCCCCAGGAAACTTCCCTATCTGCTGGGAAAGCACCGAGATTTGGCTCAGTCCCCAAAGACAGTAGGGCCCAGCTGAAGTTCCCAAGGGCAGAGGGCTGGGTCTAGCTGAAGTCTCAAAGGATTCTTGAGGGCAGGGGCTGGGTGCCCTACTCCACGCCCAGTGCTCAGCTGAATGAATGTGTGCGTGCGCACATACACACACGCACAGACACACACCCACACACACACACACACACAGTGCACAAACGGACCACGCATGGTCCTCCACCCCAGAGCAAAGCCAGGGCCCGGCCCCACACTTACAGCACATGCATCCTGGACAGGCCCCAGAAGGCCCCGTCTGTCAGATTGCTGATGTTGTTCCGCTGAAGCTTCAGCACCTCTAAACTGTCAAGCCCCTGGAACGTGAGGCCCTCGATCAATCGAATCCGATTCCGACTGAGATCCCTAAGGAGAGGAAGCCAGCAGGGTCAGAGCATCTCAGGCACATACCCCTCCTACAACCATCCCCAGGCGGTCCCGGCTGGGTTCCGAGCCAGAGGAGAAACCCTGGTGCAGGGGCCCCTAGGGAGCCAGGACACAGCAGGGGAGCCCATGGTCTGTCTCGCCCGCCACAGAGGCACTGACGCTGCCGCCCGACGGCTAATGCATGAAGAGGGGCACCGGGAGCTCCCCACAGCCAGCTCCAAGAACCTGAGCGTGCTCGCGATCCTCCCTGAGTGGCACTGTGCCGTTCACGACTCTGCAGCGAGGGCGTGGGCATGACTCAGCAGGTGGACGTCTTAGGTGAGGAGTCTCTTAGCTCAGCAACCGAAATCCACACCAGATGCCTCAACCCAGGAAAAGCCCAACCACCGCGTATCAAATGGCAGTGACATGTTCCACGCAGGGCATTTCACGCAATCTCTACGTATGGAGAGAAGCTGCTGCACACGGGGGAGGGTGGAATGGGGGAGAGACACCCCAGGAAGCATACTCATTTGGCTTCTAGCCCCAGCATGACAAAGCTTCAGTTGACCACGAGATGGCAGGAATCGGGGTGGGCTGGGTCCTTAGCAACCCGGGGGAAAGGCAGGAAGAACACACAGCTGACCAGAAAACCTTGGTTTTCCCCAAATATTTCTGCACTGTGTCACGACCCTGCCCCCCACACGACCTCCTCAGTGTCACCGAGACCTTCTCCACAGACTGGAAAAAGCAGAGCCCGGCTTTCACCACAGGGAGGAGAAGCACAGGCAGGATGGGGGCCGGGGCGTACGCCATCTTGCTGCCAACCTAGACCTCACAATTGTTTTGTTCTGCTTAAACCAAATTTCCAATATTGGCTTATTTTCCTGAAATACACTCTTCCACTAAAAAGAGGACACAAAACAAAAAACCACGGACGGGGGGAGATCTTCATCAGATTCTGGTTAATGGAGGTTCTCTTGAATCCAAAGCTCTGTGTGTCTAGGCAGGCACACAGCCTCCACCACCAAAAAATGAAATAAATACTTTATTTTGAAAAAATATCATATATCTTGGGAATGACAGTAGGAGGAAAAATATAAAAAATAAAATAAAACAATAAATCAACTACCTTATAAGATGTAGGAGGGGAAGACAAAGACCCATCTCTTGCTTGCTACCTCTGGCTACACTAACTTTTCAAACTGCTCAAAGAAGAGTCAGATATCACCATGTCCAAGGTACAGATTTTATGGGTACCTTTCAAAAATACACCAAAACTTCTAAGATACCAACCCCATGTAGCCTGAGCACGAGCCAGCATCAGCGAACTAGGATTCCTCATTTCGTTTTGGAAAATGTCAAGGAAGACAAGCATATATAAACTAGTGGATCTTTTTGCTCTGAGGCAGCCCACAGGCACCAGACCCAGCTCCTAATTTGCTTTTATTAGGTGTTGCCGTAGGGCCGTTAAAGATAGTTTATGCTGAGCTTTACCAAGGGGGAACGAGGAAGGGGTCGCATTTGGTATGAAGTCCTTGGGGAAATCTGGCCTCCATAAAGTTTGGCCAGCCTTAATTAAAGCACAGGTTTCTGTACTCACAGTTGTGTTAGCCTGGGCAACTTGAATGCTTTTACAGGAAGCCGGGTGATCCTGTTTTTGCTCAGGCGAAGAGTTAGCAGCGACCGTGACAGACCATCAAATGCTCCCGACTCCAGGGTGCCAATCCGGTTGCTCGCCAGGTTGCTGGAAGGGTTCAGGAAAGAAAATGTAGTGGTCCGTAGGAGGCCTTCCTCGTTTCATTACAGACACCAGGCCCAGCTGGGTCTCAGTTGGGAAAACAAGATAAGACACACCCAGAGGGACAGGTTTCCAATGAGATGTTTATCGTCACAAGGCTTCCAGATGGGGAGCCAGAGAGTGCAGGTGTCAGGACTGTCTAATTAGGGCACGCAGGCAGGCCTCCTAGCAGCCTGGAGCACACTGTTCTTGTGGCTGGTGGGCCACCCCAAGAGGTAGGAGTGAACATCAAATACCTCCACGCCCAGCCACCCCCCACACCAGCCCCACCTCAGGAGCCACCTGCAAAGACTCCTTCCTCACCGCTCTGCCCAAGGTTGATGAGGAAGGCCCTAGAAAGCAGGAAGTCAACTGAGAGGCCAGGTCAGAGTCAGCTTAATAATTTGGGGAAACAGACTTTAATTTTGAAGTGGGTCTCTGTGAAGGGAATTACATAATACATATGTATAAATCAATTCATTTTAATAATTTTAAATGCCTCAAAGAAACACTCTAGTTAGAGACCTGCACAGAGTCCCTTTAGAAAACAAGCAACACTTCACGTGCCTACACTTATGAGGTGATATACGTCAGGGCACCCATGGCGACAGTACAGAAAAGGCAGATGCTGTTCCTCAAAACGTGTCAGATCTGTGCTTCTCATTGTATGCAAATTATATCAAGTAACAAAAATGAAAAAAAGAAAAGAGAGGAACAATACGGTATTCCTGGGAGAAGTTATCCCCCCCAACACCTCTGCTTCTGCCTCACCCAGACAAATGCTACTTTCTTTTTTTTTTTTTTTTGGCCTAAATGAAAAGGAGAAAGGCCAGGGAGAATTCTCTGCCACAGAGAGTAGAGAGAAATAAGGCCCTTTTCATCTCTCCACCAGGCAGTGGCCCAGGACAGGGCGCATGAGGATTCTTTGCAAATGGGGCTGGACTGTTTGTTCTTAACACTCCAGATTAAAGAAGAACAGCCTGAGTGATGAAGATATACTAGCCCATAGCTGCCAAAATAGAAAGTCCCTCCTGCTTTCATGCAGGGAGAGAAGGTCAGTGCAATTCACTTTAGCAGTTGTGGTTTCTCATCCCAAGCAAGCAGGTGGCAGCTGGAGACACCTTTCAAAAGACCCTACTGGAGGCTTCACAATGGCCAAGCCCTCCTGTTCCCAAATTCTGGCATCTTGATGCAGCCTAAGAAAGAAATCACTCCTCTCCTTGGGGTCTTTACTTGGAAAATCTGTGTGCCAAGCCTCATCCTTCCTGAAAAGACAGGTCACAATGACCCCTAACTGAGCCTTGAAAATGATTTCCAAAATTGCTCTGGAACAATAATAATACAGGGAATAAAAACTCACCGGTAAGTGGAAAATGTCTCTTTAGCCTGAATTTTCAGTTTCTTTCCCAAAGCAATACTTCCCTACCAACAAGTAGTGGATTAAACAGGTTTTAACTTTTTTCCTTCCTGTCTACCACCCATTGTGTGTGAGATGGGGCATTAACATGGGTAAGACAGAAATGGACAAAGAAATCTAAAAGGTGCTGAAAGTCTACAGAATAAATGTCCTCCCCCCAAAACCTAAAGACTTGTTTTAATAGTGCAAGATAAGCATGGACACGATAAGCCTTGTCGAAGCCTCCCTCCAGCGAAGGATCCTCTGACCACCCTCTAATCTTCTCTGGAAGCTTTTCCTAGGAGGCAGTCTAGTGAACGGGAAAGAAAACAGGCTTTGTGGTCAGGATAGCCCGTATCTGAATCCTAGACCGTCCTCTTTGAGTGGTGAGTCCGTGGGATGGGCTAATTAAGCTCCCCCATCTCAGAGCTTCCTCATCTGTCTGTAACATCAGAGTAACGTTGCAGGATTTGGAAATGCTCCATCAATGGGCACACACAAGAACACAGATCACCAGCCCCTGCCCTCTGCCCTGCAGAGGGAAGCCAGAGGCCTGCAGCATCCCCACTGACTCAGCCAAGCCATGGCTGAGGAGAGAAGGAAACATCCACTCTGCATCCAGACCTGGGTGCTGGTGAAGCCGTTACCCTGCCTGGAAGCAGAGGGACAGACAGCAGAACAGAGGTACTTACAGCTCCTTTAGAGGCAGTCCGCGTGGAAAGCAGGAACTCCGGACTTCCGTGATGTTGTTTGAACTCAGATCCAACACTTCCAAGGAAAGGTAAGCTTTCAGCTGAGTCCCCTCCACGCTGCGAATCTTATTGTGTTGTCTGGAACACACCAAGGGAGGTGACTCAAGCATTTCTTTCTGCAAAGTAACTGCAAGAAACTATTATTTCCCCCCATCCACCACTTCTTTTAGACACTTTTTTCCCAACCGGTTTGCCTTTTCCGAAAAACAAAAAAGCAAGGAAGCCTTTAAAAAGAATATCTCCTGTTCATCTTCCCATCAAGTTATTACCGGCTGGCTGGGTGCTGGATAGAATATATTGGATTTTCTTGTCTGAGACAAGTTTGTCTGTCAAGGTTCTATGCTTAGGCTGCTCTTCTCAAGGGCAAGAACGTAGTGGTGATACTTAAGACCATGCGAGACCAGCAAGACGTGACCAGAACCCACTGATGCACATGCCATGAAGGATGAGCCCAGGACAGCCAGACAGCTCCAGTCCAACTTTCATATATAACTGTTAGAGCCTGGCCCAACCCCATAACTTAAAAGAATGTAGGCACCCGAGCCCAGAGTCCACTTTAATCCAACTTAACACATCATTTCGCACATTTTACTGACACCTACCACGTATCAGGCACAGAGAGATAGACACAAAGGATTTTTTTTTTTTAAAGAAAAAGATGATGACAAAATCCTAACAATCTACAAAGGCAAAGAGGAGCTCACTGCTGGGTCTAATTGGAATCGAATCCCTTGAACCTTCTTACTCTACCCTTAATAGCTCTGTCCGCCTCGGTTTTCTCATCTGGGAAATGGGGCCACAACCCGTAATTTCAAGAGTATGGATGATCCAACCTGAAACCTCACTGAAGTACCTGGCAGATGTTAAGGTAAGCGTTCAGAGTGTTTACCACCGCCCCAAGAAAGGCATTTGCCACCAGGACTTATTTGCACCTTTAATCCTCTTTCTGTAGAATCCACCGACCAAGAGTTATTAATCAGGAGAAAGACCACAAATGCCAACCAAGGCTGGAGGTACCTAACCACCCTGTTGTGGGTTTTGCTCTGCCCGGCAGATTCAAACCACCACAGCCCTGACTCCAATATCAGACACTGAAGAATCTGCTGGGTGGTGGCGCGAGGCCTCTCCGTCCCAGGCACTCACACTCAGGCCAGTTCTGAGTCAACAGTGTCAGCATCTCCGGCCAATCAAAGCATTCTTGAATGCAACACAAGTAAGCCAGGCGTCGCTGACCAAGTGGCATCTCCTTTAAACAAACACTTGACCGAATCAGTTCCAACAGGCATAAACAAGGACCTCTTTCCCAGAAGCTCTGGGGCTTCTCGTCGACTCCTTTGTTTTTTTTCACAAGTCTCCCAGGCCCTGAACTCGAAATCCATTTACGAGGGCACAGCTCGGCACACAGAGAAATCTCCCCAGAACGAAAGGACCCTTTCCCTTCGCCTCTCCTTCCCACCCCCCCAGAGCCACTTGCTTTGAGTTCTTTATTAAGTTCTTTAATAAAGATAGTCTCTTCAGTTTTCTGACTCCAAAAGAAAAAGGAAAAAAGAAAAGAGAAGAAAACCTTTATTATGTAAAGTATGGGAAGAACAAAAAATAAAGGCGACAGAGCTGAGCCTTATCCGGGAACTCTGAATACAGTACCAGGGAGCCAGGAAGAGAAGGTCTGCAGACAGAAGGGACGGGCGCCGCTGGCCCAAGCAGCACAAAGAGTGCTCTAGTGTGGTGAGGGCTTTGCTGCACGGCCGTGGGACAGCTGCGAACCCCGACACTTCTCCTGCCCCCCGCCCCGTCTCTCTCCTCTCCTCCACCTCCCTCCTCTGTCTCCTTGGTCTTTGTCTTTGGTCTTAGACCTTTCATTTCTTTCTTGTCAGTCTATTTATTCATTGAATCAAACACATCCTAGGCCTCTCACTCTGGATAAAGGACACTGTGCGGAGGACAAGTCTCTTTCATGGCTGGAAAAACTTCCCACTTGGCCAAAGCAGCTGCCATGGAGATGGGAAACAAGGGTGCGTGGGAGTGAGGGCCACAGTGGCAGCGTCCGTGAGAGGCGTCCAGCGGCTGGGGAGCATGCAGTCCTGCCTGGGAGAAGATGCTGGGGCAAGTGTCCGAGGGTGGGATGCTGGGACTGGGAGGAGACAGGCAGGGACAGGCCAGGAGCTTGGATCAGACGGTGCAGCTGGTGGGGCAGGCAGGACCACATCAGGAAATGCCTCCCAGGCCAAGCGAAGGACATCACAGTGGGCCAGGTAAGAGATGGCGGCGATATGGACACAGGCACAGAAGGACAGTAACAGGACTACAGCCCACAAGAGCTGGAGGTGACAGCCGGGGTGCACTGGTAGCGATCCAATATTTTCCAGTTTGGAAATGGAAGATAACCAGGTTAGTGGGCTAGTGGCCACACCTTCCATCCTTGCCCACTTACAGTCTATCCCTAACCCGGCAGCCAGAGAGATCCTGCTAAAAACAAGTCAGCTCTGGTGTCCTACTGAACAGGAGAAAACATTTGCGAATCATATATCTGATAAAGGGGCTAACATCCTGAATGCATAAAGAACACCTACAACTCAACAACGGAAAAGAAGCAATCCAATTTTAAAAAGGAGCAAAAAACTTGAATACACATTTCTCCAAGGAAAACATAGAAACGGCCAACAAGCACACGAAAAGATGCTCGGCATCACTGTTGGGGAAATGCAGATCAAAACCACAATGAGATATCACCTCACACGTCAGGATGGCTACTGTTAAAAAAATAAAATAACAAATGTGGGTGAGGATGTGGAGAAATTGAACCCCTGTGCACTGTTCGTGGGAATGTAAAATGGGGCAGCTACTGAAGAAGACCGTATGGTGATTCCTCAAAAAATTAAACACAGAGTCACCATATGATCTAGCAATTCCACTTCTGGGTACTGAAAGAATTGAAAGCAGATCTTGAAGAGACATCTGTATAGCCATGTTCACAGAAGCATCATTCACAATAGTCAAAAGGTAAAGCAACCCAAATGTCCAACAGAGGAACAAAAAAAATGTGGCATATACATACAATGGAGTATTATTCAGCCTTAAAAAGAAGAGAGATTTTGACACATGCTACTGAGTGGATGAGCCCTGAAGATATTATGCTAACTGAAATATGTCAGTCACAAAAAGACAATTACTGTATGATTCCACTGATACGAGGTATCTAAAGTAGTCAGATTGACAGAGATGGAAAGTAGCATGGCAGTTGCCAGGGAGTGGGGGAGGGGAAATGAAGCTTTGTTGTTCAATGGGTATGGAGTTTTAGTTTTGCAAGATGAAAAAAGTTCCAGAGATCCATTGCACAACATGAATGCACTGAACATGGTTGAACTCTACACTTAAAAACATGATTAGGATAGCAAATTTTACATTATGTGTATTTTACCACAATTTAAAAAGAAAACACAAGTCAGTTCACAGTATTCTTCTGCCGAATCCCAAATGATGACTCTTTTTTTTTTCTTTTTTGAGACAGAGTCTCACTGTGTTGCCCGGGCTAGAGTGAGTGCCGTGGCGTCAGCCTAGCTCACAGCAACCTCAAACTCCTGGGCTCAAGTGATCCTTCTGCCTCAGCCTCCCGAGTAGCTGGGACTACAGGCATGCGCCACCATGCCCGGCTAATTTTTTCTATGTGTTTTTAGTTGTCCGATTAATTTCTTTCTATTTTTAGTAGAGACGGGGTCTCGCTCTTGCTCAGGCTGGTTTCGAACTCCTGAGCTCAAACAATCTGCCCGCCTCAGCCTCCCAGAGAGCTAGGATTACAGGCGTGAGCCACCGCGCCCGGCCCCAAATGATGACTCTTGAATGTCACTCAGGAGTAAGTCCTTATGATGACGACCCCCAAGGCCGACACGGTCTGGCACTCCTACTCCTACTCCTCCACCTCCCACACTCCACCCCACACAAACATGTCGGGCCTCGGGACCTTCGCGAGTGTGGTCCCACTGCTTGGAATGCTGTTCCCCAGAGATCCAGGCGTCCACGCCCTCACTCCCTTCCCAACGTTGTTCAAATGTCACCTTCTCAGTGAGGCCTTCTCTGGCCACCTCCTCTAAAACCACAAGCCCCTTCACACACACACACACACACACACACACACACACATACACATACACACTCTCCACCCCCTTGCCTGCTTTATTTTTCTAAAGTCCTAATTATCATCTAATATCCTCAGTATTTGCTTATTTCTAGTTCACCATCTCCCCCGTCCCCACGTGGCTCCACCAAGGCAAAGAGATGTTTGCTTTGTTCACTCTTAAGTTTCCAGCCACGGGGCAAGGCACATAGTCGGTGCTCAATAAATACTCGCTCATTGAATCACAAAGCGTGAACACAGGTTGAATTCAGAAGGGCTGAGGCTGGACACAGATTTCAGACTCACCAGCATTTCAGCAGAAGAAAACCACACAAGGAGCTGAGTTCAGTTAGAACTCAGGAAGGTGAGGAGAGGAGAGGAGAGGATGCCAGGTGCCCCATGACATTACTGCCCAGACACAAATGACTGAGCCCATGGCAGCCCCAGAGACCCTCAGGGCTCCGACACTGCCTTCCCCAGCTGTTGAGGACACACACGCCACCTTCCCCCCACCCAAGTCAGTCTCCCTGCTCTAGACGGTAGCCCAGGACCCTGACCAAACCCTTCTGAATACCCGTACACAGGACAGCTGACTTCGAAGCTCTACCCTCCAGGAGAACTCTGCATCCCTCTCCCCAGGAAGCAAGAACCACACTGCATTAGCTGTGTCTGTGCACCCTGGCAGCTCCACCCAAGGCCAGAGAGTTCTTCCTTGTCTGGAACACGGCACAGCACTGTGGACCAATACGCTGTGCCGCGCCGCCCAAGTTCAGATCCCAGCTACACCACCCCCGGGCGTGAACCTTGGAGGAGCCCCATCTGTAAAGCTGGGTGTTAATTAAGTTCCTATGCCCCACGGGCTGATATGACCTGACATGTAGCGGTTGCTCAAGAAAATGAATTCTCATTTTTAGTAGTCATGTTTGTGTCCTCCGAGCCAGGCTCAGGGTCTAGTTTGTAGAAGGTG